TGCTCTAGAAGTCACGTTAGGAAGGAGTCATTACAGCCTGACTCCCAGTCCGCCACTCCACAAAGACACACTGGGCTGAATGCGCGGTTCAAGTCAGTCGGCAACCCAAGGCACAGTTTTTAGCACACTGTGATGCCATCAAGCACAACAGATTGCTTATAGGGAGGAAATGCGCTGATCCGTCAAACTCAGTTTCTTTTACCATTTCTAGGCCCAATCTTCTGTCCGAATTAGTTAGTTGTTCGATGTGGCGAATGGGCACAGTGACTGACATACCTGATGACTTCGTATGCACTTGCCACTTACAAGACCTGGTAGCCCAACACAAGCATCAGGATTTCACGCAAAAGGTAGTAAGGGGTTCATATCTCATATGCGTGAGATTGCTAGAGGTCGTGTTTAGAAGAAGCCATTGTAGCTTGAGTTTTAGATCACTAGTCGGCCAGCCCACAGCATGGTGGCGCATGATTTAGTTTATAATGGTAGTAAGCTTGCGCTGCATGTACCTGTCTTCTCCCCTCTCCTTACCACCTGGTTCCGGTGTCATAACTAAGCCAAAAAGACTGGAGGCGCGAGAGGGCGCAGGTTGCTGGCACGGCCTGAACCGCCCCGACTCGGATCCCACGGAGTGGGGGTGTCTTAATCTCCCCAAGACTCCCTCAAAATGTCAGTCGTACTTAAAAAATAAAGCTCTCGTTTGTTACTGGACTTGTCAGATGAGGTGGATTTTCTCATGTTCTGCCTGCAAGACTTAACATGCCAGAGGTCGTATGTCTACTGCTGTTTCGACTGCAGTGCATGTATGGTACCCCCAGCCCCCTGGCGAGTTTCAACTAAAAGGCAGCATTACACTTTCCTCCTAAAACTTGCGTTGTGGTATGCTCTATCGGACTGTCAGCCTTTCTACTTCTTATGCTTGCCTCTTCAGGTATGTGTCGGTTTTGGTGGAACTGGCTCAGCTGAATGAAGACAAGAATGGCGAGCTGATTTCCAACCAGCTCCTCGACGTTACCGTCCGAGTGGCCACCGTTCGATCCTTCGCAGTTAGCCAAATGGCAAGTTAACTACTTATTCATCGTTTTTATACCAACCCCCCTTCCCTCC